CCCCCCCCCCCCCCCCCGGGGGAAAAGGGGGGGGGCCGGGGGGGGGGGGGGGGGGGGACGACAGGATTCCACCGCTTTCCCCAACGGGCCTGTGTTCACACGAGGCTGGGCCCCACCACCCTGCGCTGGACCAGAAATCCCAAAAGGAGACGTTTTAGGGAGGAGAGGAGCTCCGGTCCGAGAGCAGCAGCTGGCCTGATGTCACAGCCTCTTCCGAGGAAACCCTGCAAAGCAGCCGCGCAGCCAGGGCCAGCGCTAGCGCCGACGGCGGCCTCAGCCCCAGGAGCCAGGCGGTTAGGTGGCAAGCAAGGTGGGCAGCAAAGTCGCCCGGGCTGGCTTGGGATCCTGACGCCACTGCTGTCTGCTGGGGGACCTCAGCCAAGCCACGGCGCCTGTCAGAGCCTGGCTCTCCCCACTGACAAGCAGGCTGATGCCATCGTGCAGGCTGTGCTGACTATCAAGAGCAGAGGTGGGACGCCAGGGAGGGAAGGGAGAGCCCCAGCCGAGGCTGTCTTCTCCACTCCTTCCTCACACCCCGGGGGCTCCCCGACCTCCTCGCTGTGCCTCAGTGTCCTCATCGGTTAAAAACAAGACTAATGATCAGACGACTGTGTGGACAGCACATGGGTGCCTCTCCTGGAAGCACCCTGGAGCAGAATGCTGGGCCACCCTGTCACTGAAATGTATGTCGTGCAATATGTTCAAGAGCTGAAAGGTAACAAAGGGAGCAGGTCCGGAGACCAGCCTTGGCCCAGACCCATCTCAACAGGTCCTGAGTAGGAAAGGCACATGACTCACCACCTAGTTTGACTGGGCAAGGAGGAGAAACCCACAGGGTGAGACGTGGCAGGGGAGTATGAGGCCTTCGGGCCATCTGCTGCGGGGAGCAGAGTGGGCCCCAAACGTCCCTCTGCCTGCTCTTGCACTGGTCTAACCCAGGCGCACGAACTGGCCCTGCATGACCAGCCTCCTGACTAACAGCTTCCAGAGCGTCCTGGGACAGGGAGGGGGTGAGGCCGGGATGCCAGAGACGGTAGCACCAGAGGACGAGCCGGCACGGCTGAGTCAGGCTGTGTTAGCTGAGGGGTGGTGGGGGGCTCCAGGGTGGGGTGTCTCCAGCAGAACCAGAGGCCCCACCTTGGGAGAGGTGGCTATTGCTGCTACCGTGAGGCTCTACTGGAGACCACGGGCCAGGCCCAGCTTTGCCCTTTCAAGCCCCCTGGAGCAGGAACTTTAAGGCAGCCCAAGGTGAGAAGGCCCAGGTTACACCTGTGGGAACTGGGGACAAACTTACTGAGAAAGCCCAAGCTGCTGTTCCTGGGCCCACGGTCCACACAGGGCCTCCAGAAGCCTCGTCTCCTCATTCAAGTACTAAGTGTTTTGTGGGTATGCTGGTTGGCTGGCAAGTCACTTGCCGTTAGAACACAGTGCATGGGATCTTAGGTTCAGGTAGGGGCTACTCCCTCCCGGTGCCACCTGGCTCTCTGCTCCTCAAGGCCCGTGTTGGCCCTCTGGGGTCTCCTGTGCAGGAGCCCTCCTGTGGGAAGGCTGGGAGGGCACTGGGCCACCTCACCGTCTAGGCTCCAGAGGGACCCAGCATTAGCTCACTGAGCTACCGGGGAGTCTGTGCTTGAACTTGGGAAGGGGGTGATCCTAGGGAGGGGAGAGAGGGAGGGAAAGAAGGCCCCTAGCCCAGCTGCTCTAGGATGTGAAGGGGAGGACAAAGGCGCAGACCCCAGGCTGGCCCGTCTGTCCACTCCCAGGGCTACAACCTGCTCTTTTCTTAAACTGCACCAGGAATGGGGCAGCCCTAGGCCTGGAGGGGACACAGAACAGCTCAGTCCACCTACCAGCTATCTCTTCCTGGAGGCCCAGGGGCTTCTTCAGCCCCTCCTAAGAGCCCTTTGCAAACAGAGCTAAGGAGGACAGTTTCAGCTCTCAGGAATTCCTGGAGGCCACAGCAGGAGTGTCTGGCACGGGATGGGGGAGGGGGGGTGCTTAGGATGGTGACCACTGCTGGTCCACACCTGTGACTCACAGCAGCTGAGGGCTCTGGAGCAGCTCTCAGGAATTCCTGGAGGCCACAGCAGGAGTGTCTGGCACGGGATGGGGGAGGGGGGGTCCTTAGGATGGTGACCACTGCTGGTCCACACCTGTGACTCACAGCAGCTGAGGGCTCTGGAGCTCAGGGATCCCCAGAGTCAGGCTGGCAGCCCTCCTCCCATGTGCAGATCTTGATGTTCCAGCCACCTGTGCACAAATGCCTGAGGTGGGCCCCTGAGCTGCTGTGGCCGGGGAAGGGCAGGAGGGGGGTCTCAGTGCCAAGGCTCGGGGCAAGGAGGTGGTGAGCAGAAAAGGCAACCACGGGCCAGGACAGCAACCTGCCGCACTGAGTCAGACACAGGGAAGAGTCACCATGGCAATCAGTGCCCCCAGCCCCACCCTCCCCTGAGCACCTGCACTGGAGGAGGGAGACACTGGGGGGTCGGGTCAGCCTCCCCATGTACCATCCAGAGCCCAGCTCCAGACACTCCCAGTGGCCTGGAGGGGGCACATCAATCCCAGGGATTCAATGCTGGCTGATATCTCAGACCAAAAGGAACAAGGAACCCTGACTCCTGGGTCACCCCCCAGCTCCACAGAGGAGCAGCAGAGCACAAGAGGTCAGGACCGTGAGCCCTAAACATCCCCTAAAGGGAAGCCACAGGGCCCCAGGAAGGCGGGTCCCCCAGAACCAAAGTGTACTTGGTACGTCTCCCCAGCTATAACCAGGAAGGCTGGTCCGGGGAGAGAGTGGGACTGGGGACAGGCAACAGAACGTGCCTGGCTACCGCCGGCCACCAAAAAGAAAAACACTCTACGTCTAGCAAAAGAAATCCCTCTGGCTGAAATGTTTCTTCCTCTTGGGTGGCGAGGGCGGCTTTTGAGGACAGCTTGCCTCCCTCCCACCCCCAGCTCCAAGATGTCCTGTCTGAGAAAGCCCTGGTGGGCAGTGGCAGCAAAAAAGCCAACGAGGGGCAGGGATGCTTGGGCAGCGGCCGGGGCCTGCAGCTGCTCGAGCTGGCTGCTGACAGCCAGGGGCAACTCCTGATGGACGGGGACCTCGGTTTCCTGCAGAGCTGACACACAAGAAGTCAACCAAAGGTGAGAGCACCAAGGACAGGAAAACACCTGTCGCCCCCCCCCCACCAGCCTGTCCACACTCCACATCCCGTGATTGTGCGTGTTCCTGTGTGTGCGTTTGTGTGTGCACGTGTGTGTGTGCACAGTTGAGCCTGGGCTGGCACTTGGTCACCACTCTCCTTGTCCCTCACATCAGGGAGGGCTGCCCCTTGGCTCCACTGTAGGTACCAGGGCATAAGAGTCTTAAGAAAGAGAAGGGGGTGGCCTGGCAACAGGTGAGGCTTGGCACTACCACCTTGGAGGGTGGCACACAAGGTTTCTTATTGCTTCTCTTGGCTCTGGGGAATACCCTCCTTATTTGCAGAAAGACCTAGGACGTGGCAGCAGGATCCCATATCCACCCTCCTGATCACTGGCAGGTGGGAACTGGCTCCAGCCCCCATGTGGCGTGCACAGAATTCCTTCTGCGAAGCTGCGGGTCCCAGCAGAGTGGCGCTGTCACCTACCCTTCCGCACAGTCACTGGATTACTGCCCATCCTTGCCAGCCTCCTCCAGGGGTCTGGACATTGGGCCACAGTTGAGTGTCCTTACAAAAATAACTCTGAGTCTGTTCCCAGTGGGACCAGGTTCCTGAGAGCACGCAGGCCTGGCGGAGGCCGCGTGGAAGGGGCCGGCAGGGAGCGCTCCCCGCGCGGGCCAGGGTTACGGCTGCAGACGCTCCAGGTACTGTGGCAGGGGGTTCTCCTTGACGTACTTCTGGATGTACCAGCAGGTGAGATGGGCTCTCAGGTCCTCCTCCACCACAAAGTCCAGGGCAGCCTGGGAGCCAGGGCAGAGAGGAGAGGGGTCAGGGCCCTGTAGCCAGCACCCAGCTGCAGTGTGGGCTCCCGCCGCAGCCCCCAGGCTCCAAGGCCACCCTCCGACTTGGCCCACGTTAGTAACTCTCTGAGTCTCCTCCTGGGTAACCTAGGATAACCCCACAGACCAGCTCACAGGCTGGTCCTGTGTAGAAGGAGAAGACAGATCACTTTGCATGGGGTAGGCACAAGTCCCCACGCCCCAGGCGAGGAGGCAGAGGACGCCTTGCAAGTCTCCCTGAGCCCCCATGCTGATGCAGAGGCCTGGGTGGGGGCAGGAGGAGGAGGGGAAGCCAGCAGAGGGCCCAGCCAAGCCCCAGGAGCAGCCCTTAGGGGAATTTAGGGCCATTCTTTGCTCCAGCTGTAATTCCCCTCATTAAGCCCAAACCTGCTGTCCAGGCAGCCTGGGGCTTAAGGTGCTTTGGGGATGAAGGGGGTATGGGGTTGGGAATGAACCAGAAGCAGGGGGCCCTAGGATAGAATCAGGCTTGACCAGGAAGCTCCGACACCAGGAGTGTGGTGACTGTGGAGGTTTAGCCACACCAGAGTTCTGCAGACCAGAGGCCAGGGCCCAGAAAGGCCACCACCAGCCCCAGGAGGAGCCAGGGAGGGCAATGTGTGCTCCTGATGTCTGCCTGCTGTCAGCTGCAACCTGTTGGCAAGGCAAGTCCAAGAAGCACGCTGGAGTTGGGGTCACCACCGCCTCTGAGTGGAAAGTGGCTGCCCCCATGTCCCCTGCCCACCCTACCTTGGCAAGGTGCTTAGCGATGCCACGCCCGCGGTAGGCATCGGGGACCTCGGTATGCTGCAGGTCCACGATCCGCTTGCCCACGTACTCGTACAGCAGGACGGCCCGGTCATGACACCCTGGGGGGAGGGAGGGCAGAGACAGGTGAGCCCTAGGAGATTCTAGGGGCCTGAGGGGCTCAGCTGCCCCAGCATAGAGTCCTATAGGTGCCCAGCAGACCCAGGCATAGAGGCCAGGGTGGTGGGACAGGCATTTGGAGCCATTCAACTGCTGCAGTTGAATCTTGATACCCTCTCTGTGCCTCAGTTTCCTCATCTGTAAAGCGGGGATATAATAAAATGTTCCCCATAGGGTTGTTTAGAAGGTAAATGAGGTAATCTCTGTGAAAGCCACGCAAAGCCTGAAACACACAGCTCCATATGAGCCTTCGCTACTGTCATCAGTCTCAGCATCCAAGGGCTCTACCACCCCCTCCACAGCTCTTCTCTCTGTGGCCCCACCTGGGCCCCCTCCCAGGGTCTGGGTGTTCTGGGGCCGAGCACTGGACATACAACAGGGCTTGGCAAGTCTGCAATTAAAACGGAGCACGAAGAGACAAGAGAGGCAGATCGATGAGATGCATCAGGACCACCTGCGGACCCTGCCAGAGACACAGTGTGGGAGATCGGAGGACTGTGACAGCAGAGTTCATGAAACTGACACTGGGCACAGGAAACAGAAAGAAATGGGTCTTCATGCCCTCCCAGGCCGGCTGGACCTGGAGCTCACCAGTCTACCCCAAACTCTGTTGGAATAACATTTAACTGAAGTTCCTTTAACCAGTTTTTAGTTCCTTATCTTTCTGTCTATACACCTGTCCGTCCATCCATCCACCCATCTACCCACCCATCCACTCATCCATCCACCCATCCATCCATCCATCATCTACCTACTAATTCACTCACCCATCCATCCATCCATCTACTCAACCAACCATCCACTCGCCCGTCTATCCATCGACTCATCTATTCATCCACCCACGCCCACCCACCCCTCCATCCACTCACCCACTCACTCATCCATCCAACAAATGCTTTCTGAGCCCCAGGCACTGTCTCAGGAGCTAGGGACACAGCAATGAACAAGCCTGACAAAGAGTTCTGCTCTATGAAACTGACTAGAAGGGGATAAAAAAAATAAATAAGAAAAGCTAGTGACTGTACAGCATTTGAGGGGATGGGGAAGGGGTGTGGGGAGTGCTGGGTGGGGGACAGAGACAGAAAGGAGGAGAGGGAGTCAGCGCCATGTGATGTCGAGGGAACAGCGTCCTAGGCAGAGGGAATAGCCAATGCAAAGGTTCTGAGGCAGGAGCGGTCAGCAAGGAGGAGGGGTGGCTGGAGAGGAGGGGTGACGGGGAGGGTGGAGGAGATGAAGGCAGGGAGGTGACGCGGGCAGGTCCTGCAGAGCCTCCTAAGCCATCATGAGCTGGGAGCCTTGGGAGGGTCCACAGGAGAGGAGGGACAGATGAGACTCATGACTTCACAGGATCCCTCTCGTTGCCATGGGGAGAATGGACTGGGGGCAGGAGCAGGGAGACCTGTGAGGTGGCTGCACTGGTCCAGGTGAGTGATGAGGGGGCACAGACCGGGCGGAAGCAGTGGGAGTGTGAGAAGGGGTCAGACTCTGCATCCTGAGGGTGTGGCTGGCAGGATGAGGCTTGGGTGTGGGCAATGAGACAAAGAGCCAAGGACGACTCCAAGGTTTTTAGTTTCAGGGAGCTGCAAGTGCCTGAAGGAAAAAAGCTGGGTTGGGGGAGGGACAGGGCCACTGAGTCAGGTGTAGTCAGGAGAAGCCGCTCCGAGGAGAACACCTCTGAGGGGAGAGGTGAACAATGAACAAGAGCACTGAGGACAAAGCAGGTGAAGGACAGGCAGAGGCACAGCCAGTGCAAAGGCCCTGAGATTGGAGGACACAATTCACTGTGTCCTAAAAGAAAACACGTCAATGTCAAAACAAGTGTCTTTCTCTGCTTTTTAAAATCAACTTGCATTTCAGCTGTTTTAACTTTAAAGAACCAGAGAATTTGCTCCTGAGTGTGTCTGGCCTCCTGGCATGTGCTGGATGTTGCAAGGGGAAGACTAGCAGGCTTAGAGATCAAATGACCAGTCCAGGGTCACACAGCAAATCAGGCACTGCAACAGGGTCCAACCCCAGTTAGGAGGCTTCCTGGTCCTTGGTATCTCCCTTGATTCTCCCCACAGCTCCAGGAAGGAGGCTACAATTCATCTCCCCACTTCCAGATGAGTAAACTGAGCTCCAGAGACCACCTCACACGGCAAGCCAGAGGTGAAGCTGGAAACCAGGCTTCCAGGCACCAAGCCAAGTCCGTTCTTTCTGCTTCACCACCACATGCGCTCTGCCTCCTGCCTCCAGGCATTCGCCCAGCCGTTCCCTCCGCCTGCAAGCACCCTTCCCTTTTTCTGCCAGGCCCAGCCGAGGGTGGCCCCCAGTTTCCCCTCCTCCCCATGCCTCCACGCCCCCCAGCACTGGTGCCTCCTCCTTGTGGGCCTGACAGTCGTTCTGCGGGCTGTACCCACTGTCCTGGCCAGGGCCCAGCTGTGGCCTCCACTGCTGCTACACAACATGGGACTCGGTTCTTGGATCGGCACCTGTTGGGGGAATTCAACTCACTGGAAAGGCAAGCAGAGATCAAGAGGCTATTTGGGGACTGACCCAGTTACTGAGGGGGCTGCCCGCCTGCCCTAGCCATTTAACTACCCCAAACTCATTGAGGGCCTACTACGTTCAGACTGGGTTTTGGGTGCTGGGCAGGAAGCAGTTTACAAAACTGATAAAACTCTCCGTCACAGATGGTCTATATTTTAGTGGTGGAGACAGACAATAACTATCATTATGAACACAGGACGTGCAGGTGATGAGCTGCTGTGCTATGGGGAACAACAGGGCAGAGGAAGGCTGGGGAGTGGGGGTGGGCAGCCGTTGTAAAGAGGGTGTACAGGGGAGGCCTCTCCTGAGCAAAGACCTGAAGGAGCGAGGGACCCGAGAGGAGATCTGGGGGGTGAGCAGTCCAGGTAGAGAGAAGAGCCTGTGCAAAGGCTCTGGGCTAGGATGCTCATGGAACAGGAGGCCAGAGTGGCTGGGCCGGCTGAGCATAGGGGAGGTTGGGAAGCCAAGTCTGGGTGTCCTAGGGCCAGACCATGCAGGGCCTTGCAAGCCACTGAAAGGACCTCAGCTTCTGCTCCAGCACAATCTCTGCAGAGCATGGAGGTGGCGGGGCCTCGAGCCCTTGCCAGATTGCTTGTGTTCTTCTGTTCATTCATTCCCTCAACCAATATTCCTGGAGTGGCCACTTGGGCCATGGATGGACCTGACCCTGGGACACCTCAGGGATTCTCTGCCATCCCATCAGCCCCTGATGGTCACACGAGCTCTGTCACTACCACATCCCTGGCACCCAGCCCAGGATAGACACTGCAGAAATATTTGTCCAACAAACAACTGCTGTTCTCTCTCCACCTGACACACTGGGGGCTCAAGGCAGCCTTGCAGGCCACTGGCATGCCCAGCACGTTGGTCTTCCCAGAGTCTGGCCCCTGAGCTTCTAGCCAATGCTCCAGGAGATAACGGGACAGGAACGGCTGTAGCTCATGCGTGTGAGGTGCCACCACGGGGCAGGCCATGCTCAGTTCCCTACACATGCTAACCCTCATGATGATCAGACAAAACAGTTACGATTCCTATAGCCCCTTTACAGACAGGGACACTGTGGTTCCAAGAGGTAGCTCAGAGGTGCGTGGAGCTGGCTGGAGATGGGGCTGAGTCTCTAGGAGGGTCTTGAGGCTGAAAGAGAAACAGAGGGAGTCTGGGGTCGCTAGGGTGGATGCAGGACTATGTGGGAGGGAAAGGCCAAGTTTAAATGAATGACCCCCATCAGCCAGACCATGATGCTCCAGACTGCTGAGGAGCCAGACTCCCACCAGCCCTCTTGGATCAGGTGGCCTGTGGCCTGAACCTTGGCTTGAGAGGGAACTCAGAAGTCACTCAGTTGCAGCTGCCCACACCTACGCCATAGCCCACAATGCAATTCCAGGGCCCACGGCCTAACTCCCCTACTCTCCTCCCCCAGCCTGCCTGGGGATCCCCAGAAAATGGCCACCCCCCGTGGCTAAGGCCACGATCCTTGGGTCCTCCTTGCCTTTCTCTCAGACTATAATCCTTTGGCTGGTCCCTGGGCACTATGTTCAAAACGCGCCTTGAGTCTGGCCACCGCTCACACTGCCTGCCCTGACCAGCAGAGTGGTGGCCTCTCCCTGCAGCAGCCACAGGGAGCTGCCAGCCTGGGCCCCTCCTTATCATTCCAGGTGAGCCCAAAAGTCAGGTGACTACAGGATGCAAAGGCAGTGCTATCAGCCATGCTCTCACCTCTGGGCATCGTGGCCACCCTCCCCAGCATCTGGGCAGCTGGGCCCACGGATACCACTATATCACCTCGTGGAGACGTGGGCACAGCCCCAGGCCCTTATCTGGGCTGAGCTCTGAGAGCTGCCCTGAAAGCCTCAAACCTCAGACTTGCAGAAGGGGGTCAGTGCTTGTCACGTGGGAGCCACAGGAAAAAGCCCAGGGCAGGGCCCTGGTTTTGAGTCTCAACTCTGCCCGGTGATCTCAGGCCAGTCCTGACACCTCTTTGCCCCAGGGACGTCACCTGTCCTGGGACGAACACTGCGACCCCCCTCCCTCCTGGGCCTGAGAATCACATCAAGATCATGGGCTATGACCAGTTTTGAGAAAAGCCGAAGCTACTCTGCTAATAGGGGACCTTTTCCTGGGTCTCTCCACCCCAGTGCCCTCTGCCTCTCTCAACTCAGGACCAAAGGGCCCTAGGAAGTTGTCAGGGGAGGTGTCACAGAGAAAGACAAAAGCCTGCACGAGAGGAAAGGAGCAGGGGTTCTGGGAGGCGTGGAGTCTTTGCAAAAGGTATTGACCTCCCTCTACCATCTCCGCTCTGCCCGCACCAACCCAGACACAAGTGCCGGCAGATCAAAATGCCCATTGTACAGATGAGGAGACTGAGGCAGAAGTAAAGCCAGAACCTGGGCCTCTGGGAGCCGAGGTGCTGGACCCAGGACAACAGCGGGCAAGAATAGCAGGGCAGGCCTCAGAAGCCCCTCCCAGCTTTTCTGCATTAGTGCAGAGCCAAGTTTGGGGAGGGGCCGCATGATGGTGGCTCAGACCTGGATTAGGCAGAGGGAGTTGGGAACCTGGAGAAGCTCAGCCACAGGTCACTTCCCCTCCCCACAGGACCCTGGTCTGGCCTGGCCCAACACAGCCAGGAGGCAAGAGAGGGCAGACCATGGATGACGCCTGTCCTGCTAGCCTCCTACGCTAGGTTTCCTCCTGCCTGCCCTGTTCAAGGACACCTGCGCTGGGTGAGCATCACAGGACACTTTCAGGGTGTGGGGATTCGTGAAGGTTAGGGGACCACTGTGGGTACCGTGGGGTCACGCAGGGGCCTCATATCAGAGCATGGAGCTGACCCCCACAAGGCCTGGAGCTGCAGCACTCTCTGCCCTGCTGCCTCCAGGGGTGCTGAGCGAGGCCAAAAGCAGCTGCTGACTCTCTGGGGCCTCAGTCTTCCTGTCTGCAAAACGGGGGTTGAGGAGAATGCAGAAAGTTCCAGGACTCTGGGACCCCCAGTGACCCTTCCCAGCCCTGGCTGAGGTGGGGAGAGGGTAAGCCAAGGAAGGGACTGCTCAGGGGCCCTTCCAGCTTCCTCCAACCTTCAGATGACAGTCCTCTGATGGAGGCGGGGGACTTGATTCTGGCTTTGCTGCCTATTGGCTGGTCGCCTTGGTTTCCCCACTTGTAAAATGATGGCGATGAAAGCTACTGTTTCAGAATATGGACCTGG